TTCCTCGCTTGAGAGCTCCGTTAACAAAAGCGTTCGATCGCTGCTAAATAAGTGCCATAGGGAGAACCGACGCGCTGTTTATAGGCACGCTCGGCCGGCCTGTACCGCTACAAACCCTACATCCCGCAATTTTTAAATCTGTAATATATATGTAATATGTATGTACAGGGCCATATATATCTGTATTAAATCAACAATTTATTTAAGGTATTTAGTTGTATTTAAGGTTTTTAGTTGGATAACGATTAATACTGTATTGGTTAAAATCGCTTCCAAAATTATTTGTCGTAAAAAGTAAATGAAAAAAAGTATTTTTGTGGGATATCCACATCGCCGAGGTCTGTAGACCTTTTCAATGTGTACAATACTTAGTACATTATTTTGATAAATTTCGTAGGGTTCTGCATGCGTTTGCAATGTTAGCGGAAAAAATTTAATTATGTACATCATATTAGAAAACCCAATAATAACAGTAATTCTCCACTGTTTAATGGATGTTATTATACATATCTTTATCTGGAATGCAAAATAACGCATAAATAAAAAATTCGAAATTGAGTGTCTTATTACATATGTTCATCATTTTAAAATTTTGCGGTCAAAAATAAACCAGTTTTAACCAAGATTAAACTTTTGTTTCACTCATGTTCCATTTTACTTCGCGTTTCATTCATGCCCCTGTAAAGTTCCGAAAATTTTTTTACGTTATTTTGCATTTCAGGTGTCGATATAATCCTCCGTACCACTCCGTACAAAACTTCTCAAATTGTAATTCAGCATCATCATAACAGTAAAACAAATCAGACATGGAACTGACAGAGAAAACAAATATTTTTTTACAATACCTCGAAAATTTCTTTAAACTAAATTACATATTTAAAGCAGCTGAAATGGAACCATAATTATCACAATTACACCGAAATATCTCTAGAAACTAACGACGAGGTAAAATACGTATCTATTTACTGGAAAACTGCGGGGGTTGATTATGTTTAACAAATCTGGAAAACCAGAACATCATATAACTTTGTATCGGCCCATACTAAGTAGTCTTTTAATTAGTTTTTTGCTATACATATTAACAACATATTTGAAGAGAGGAGATTGGTACCAATGCACCAGTTTGACTTTTGAAAAAATTACTCCTCTTTGACCAAGTTTATAGAATTACTCGCGTTATTGAAAATGCCTTCGAAGAAAAAACGTTGCTCGGCTGTCTTCTTCGATTGTGATAAAGTGTGCGATGGCGAGCTAATATATAAAATGCTTTTTCCAAAAGCATATTAAAATATACTTTTCGGACAATATTTTGCGAATTAAACACCGATATATGTATTCTGATTTACAGGCGCTCCTCAGTGTAGTGTGTTAGGACCCATACTCTACCTACTCTTTACGTACGATCTACCACACGACGATAATTGTGTAAATACATATTTGAAGATGGTATTCGGATACCTGACTAGCGGTTAAGCCGCAAAAGTCGTATGAGGGAGAAATCTTCCTTGGCAAAAACCGCGAACGGGGGTTGCGCAAACTTTTAGCGAAATCGCTAAAAGCGCTGTCGTAATAGAACTTGGTGTGTTCGATTGCAGTAGGGACTACTGTGCCATCTCCCACGAAGAATGGAAGAGAGTAGCGATGGCTACCTCTTCATTCTTGCTGAAGGTAGTCAAAGGAAACCTAAATTCCGAAAATGTGTGAGTGCTCTCTTATATAAGGAGGCTGTCTTTCAGGTGGGGGAAGTTTGGAAGGGAGCCAGATTAGAGGCGGTGGACAAACTCTTCTACTTCGCCCTTGGGATCGCGTCTGGCTGCCAGCCGAACCTTTCGCAGGGAGTGAGATTGAGGAAATCTTCAGGTACTGCAATCGCTCTCTACCCACGCAGGAATGGAGGGAAATAAGGCTGGAGAGAATCGAGGAACCATATCGACAAACGCTGATAAATGAGGAGTCTAAGGATAAGCTATTAAGACCTTGGCTGAAGCATCTTAACAATATACTGGCGTCATTACCGGTTCCGACGCCAACTCGCGACTGGCGCTCTTTGATTTTATGTTTAGCGAAAACCTTTGTATCTGTTATGAGGGAAATTTCTTGACCTAACCCTACGGGATTGCAACGCTGATCTCAAACTGGAGGGTCCTCGATGATCACTCCTTTTCTGATCACAGGTGTATCAGGTTTGGTCTAATCGGAGAAGCCGCAGAAGAAGAAAATCGTTTAGTAATACCAGAAATACAAACTGGGAAGGGTACCTCGACAAACTATCCAACGTGCACCAGGGGTGGACGCGTTGGCCACCATCGATGTGGTCGACGGGTGGGTCGAAGTGCTCAACTCAGCGTGCAATACTGCATTGAAGAGCTCCTGTCCACTGAAAACACCGAAGGGTAGAGGGAAACCTCTCTGGTAGACTATGGAACTCTCGGATAGCAGGGCATCTTGCAGTCGTTTATATAGCAGGACCCGTAGGAGTGGGTTAACTGACGACTGCGCGTTTCATAAAACAAGACTTGCAAAATGCAAGTCCGAGTTAAGAGTGGCAAAGAGGACCTCGTGAAAGAGCTGGATGACTGTCACGAATCCTCTAGGTTCATGCATATTCTCGCAAAATTCCCAGTGTCCCCGGGTGATTTCAAGAATGCAAATGGGAAGTAGGCCCGGAGCAGTTCGTTCAAACAGTTTAAGTTCCCAGGACCAGCCGGCATCATACCAGCGCAGCTGCAGCAGGCTGTTAAAGTGTCATGCGGCTGGTTGGAACCTATCTATGCAAACTGCATCAGACTAGGTTACATCCCGGGGGCCTGGTGTCGAGTCAGAGTTGCGTTCACCCCGAATGCTGGCAAGGGTTCCCAGCACCTCATTCTCAGTATTCTGTGCGACAGAGTGATTGAAACGGAATGTGGCAACGGGCGCGGCGAAATGTGGAGTACTCTCTCTTTTTTTATGGATCCTTGTTGTTAGCGACCTGCTCGAAAACTCGAGGATCTTTGCTGTCGGGTGATCGCCTTTGCAGACGATGTATGGTCAAAGGAAAGTTCCTAAGCACCGTGTACGAGTTGACGCAAGCGTATCTCAGCGTTGGAACAAACTGGGCGGTCAGGTGGGGTCTCGGCATCAACCCAAATAAAACCGAAATGGTAGCCGAAATCGAAGAGAGAGCAAAAAAAGGAATCGATTGCCCTAAACTGCTGTTGAGGAGCCATTGGCAAGAGGTAGGGCCTCTGCCCGAAAGTGGTACCCAGGCTCTATAATACCATAGTCACTCCCATTATGTTCTATGTAGTCTTTATTTGATGAAGGCCTTTAGAGAAGGCCAAATTTGCAAAGAAACTCGAGAACGCTCAACGAAAGTCTACTGGCTAACGCAGTTTTGAACATAATGCTCGTGGACATAGCCGGGAGGTGTATGACCGCAAAAGTGGCTATTAGACTCAGAGATTCAAAAAACGCGTATCTGAGCACTCGGATATCCTCACACACTTTGACTGCATACCGGATCATCTGGATCATAGAGTCGCCAAACCGAACTTTAGCGGCTCCTTTTCTGCCCATATACCGTCGAGGAAGCTATGGGTGGAAAGAATCCGTTGGAGAAGAGGGGCAGTAAGCTTCTTTATGGAGAGGTCAAAGCTTTGAGGGAACTTTAGTAGAGGGTTTACTGTCGGGAGCTTCAACCCTATACACCCTAGAATCATTATCGGTAGAATGGGAGCGGTTCGGTGCTACCGAATGGTCGACTACTGGATAGCTGGGCCTCGCGTATGCGTGGACAACGGTAATTGCGCAGTCGCAAAAGCTTTTTGGCTCAATATTGATCGCTGGAGATCTAGCGATCTCTTTGCTCTCAGTAAGGCTAGCCTCTCCATAGTTGTGGGCTGTAAGATTAGGAATCTTACTAGATGCCGTCTGCAGAAGCTGTTTGAAAGAAGATGCAGTAGAAACAACTCAGCAGTTCCTTTTCACCGTCCCGCATTTGGGAGGCACCACGCATCTATTGACAAAATATTTTTTCGACTACCCAATACATTGAGAAATTACATTTTTTAATTTGTGAACTTTTGGAGTTTAAACACGAATATTTTGAAACAATAAGTTCCCCTGTATATAGTATATTCTTAGTTTAGAGAGCATTTCTTATCCGCGCTTACTCATTTTGTCTCCGAACTTGGGGGATGCTGTACTAAAGTTTTCATTGTGCGCGCCAAGTTTTGTAAAGATAGGTGTCAAATAAAAAATATCTATAGTGGTGCGACATCGGCCAGAGAGCTGCAACGAGTATGATAAAATCAGAACAAACAGTCGTGCCAAAAACGTAACCAAATCAATTCAGTGCAGCATAGACAACGTTGTTAATCAATTCGATTAGCCGCCAGCGTCAACTGATCTGATGCAACATGAACAATCTGTTCTTCGGCAATCACGATCGAGTAAACGGTATGGCTGGCTTCGGTTCCAAACGTATCATCGCAGTTCATAGCGTTGCGATGATTGTTTGAATTGATGTGAATGTGATGTGGCTAAATCTTTGGATAAATCTATAAGTACAGCAAGCAGCAACAATTTTCTGCTGGACTGATTTGAATCATGTGTGGCAAAAAATGGAGCTACTTTGAAAATGTGCGCATATTACAAATTTTCGATGCGTAAACAATGGAAATTCGTGTAGATGAACCGAACTGACAGAATCAGACAGAGTAACGGATCAATACTTAAGAATAAACAAAAACTTATTACTCGTTGCAGTTCTCTGACATCGGCGGTTCCCACAAACTGGCAACTTCTTGGAGAGAATAGGAGCAGATCGATATCTCAAGAACTGAGCGGCTTGTTCTTGTATATACGAACTGACATGGCTAAATCGCTTGAGCACATTACGCTGATATTTATACATATATTTTATCATTTATATATACATTTTCAGTGTTACAAACTTTATGACAAACTTAATGTACACTGTTTATGGTATAATTAAATATTAAATAATTGTAATATTCTTGAAGTTTAAAATATTTGAATAGTGTTATTGATTATAGATAAATATACTATTAATATTTTATGAATAATAGTGTTTGATTAACACGGCATACATTTGAACTGAGCAGATATAGGTACACCAGGTAGGCCAAAGCGCATGCGCAAATGCGTAATTATAACATATTTCAAACAAGAAATTTAGAAAAATCAACTCTGTAAGTTATTGTCGTTAATATGCATATCAGTTGTTATTCCAATACCAAACTGTTAAAAATCTGAAATGAAAAAATGTTAATGCGTTATATACCTTTATACGAGCTTTGTTAATTTAACGAAATGCTAACTAAAAATACTCCACCTAACCGATTTTAATAAAGAAAAAACGCTTTTCTAAATATTATTTGTTGCTGCCAGATATTTTGATAAATTTATGGTCTGTTATGTTTGTATTATTTCTATGTGAATGGTTTAGTTGCATAGCCTGTTAGACTTAATACACTGAAAAAAGAATGTAGTTATATTTTTTTGTACATTCTTGATGTCGTTCTTGTTGCTGTGCACAAAAATTATATGTTGTTGTAGACCTTAATCTATGGTGAAGCCAATTTGGAAAATATACATAGGACCGAAAACAGAGCAAGTGAACTGAAGATTAGCGGTGGTCAACTCGTCTCGAATTGAAGTCGATAAATCTGTATATCTTTTCGTTTGCTGTGCATTTAAAAAGTGCTTTACCGAAGTCAGAAATTAAGATATGGAATTAAAATTCGATACTGAGCATAAATCAGTATAGAAGGGCATCGATGTTTTAAATATTTTAAACGTGAGCGTGGTTGCATTCTCGAATAACGGTAAAGTATATATATATAAGCTATATCACTATCTTGTTCGGAACAAGTGATACAAGCACCTTCTCACATAGGTCCAACCCATGTACTAGTAGTGTTGAAATACTAGTTGTGTTGAAAACAGCTCAAAGGGCAATAACTCACTAAAGAAACACGTCAGAAGTAGAAATATTATAGTAAAGCATGCAACTACAAGAACATACAAATAGGTTAATAGATATATGTAGATAAATAAGTAAATATATTCATACGTATGTATATACAAACCAAAATCCTTAAATGATTTTTAGACCAACTGCTAGTTTTCACAACGTTCCGCTATATGTCGAAGCCAGATATATCACTCTCTTGCTAGAAAATAAAACATGTGTATGTGTATGTTAAAGGCTTTTAAAATGAGTGTAACCTATTTATACCTATTCCGCTATTAAGTTGATGTTATTTCTAAGAAGTGCAAACAGAATTAAGGACTTTCGGAATTATTACTGAAGAGGTACAAAGAGTCCTCACATTCGTGGTATTTCAAAAATAACTATTAAAATGGAAAGATATGTATGCATTATTTTATAATAATATAATTGGCAGACTGCGAACACCATACAGTGACACCGTTCCCACGACAGTCGGGTCTACGAAAACCGGAACGGACTCGGATTTTTATCCGGCCAAGCACTGTCAACTAGGCAGAATTTCTGCCGTTACAACAACAACAACACCATACAGTGACTATTGTAGAGGCCGTCAGGAGATGTAAAACACATTTTATAGGAAGGTAAAACTTAGTATTTGAAAAGAATTGAAATTTTCGAACGAGTGTTTCTTTGCGATTTTTCAGATGTTTTACTGACAAAACCTTTTGTATTTATACAGCACGATGTGGTTCATAGAGGACTTTATAGGGTGATGTAATTTTAGTCCCGGTGGTTTCACAATACACCCCCTAAAGGCTCACCTACATATATATGGTTGCACACAGGCAATGATATAATTTCAGGTTTAAAGCGTTAGCGAACTTAGTGACTGATTTTCCTTTTAATGTGTAGTAACCATGTGTAGGAAAACCAAAAAACAACATACATATTTACATTAGTTTTGAAGGAAATATTTGAAACTAGGAATCATAATTTTTTCTTGCATTGAAGATTAACTATTGAAAGCAAAAAAGACGACTTATCGGATTTTGTCATCAATTGTGCTTTTGAATCTAACAAGATAGACGCAAAGCTTCTATTGAAGAAGAGGTATAGCCGTTTATCTTCTTTTAAACACAAAAGTTAAACTCAAACTATTTCTAAAATTAAATTGTGGCTTAGATTCTGAAAACCATTTACTACGTTGAAAATAGATTTAAAAAAATAACATATTACCTTGTCTGGTTCATAAAGATGAGTATGCGGCAATAGAAATGTGGAGCCAACCTCCCGTTCTGCCATTGAGTTTGTATCCTATTAACAAAAAAATTGGTTTTTACTTATTTAATTTAAATTATTATAAAAAGTCATTAATCACGATCTTACAGCGTTCCCCATTCACTATAACATTATAACCGCGAAAATTATTTTCGTATACATTTGCATAATGTTCATAAAAACATTGTTGCTCAAAAAAGAATTTGTCATTCCTTACCACTGGTGAGGGGAAATGAAAAGTCGTATATCGTGGGAGAATTTATTCATTCTAATTTTATGTTGATATTTTCCTGGCTTATATACAATTTTAAAAACTATCTTAAATAATTAAATATATGTGTAGGTATGTATGTTTGTATGTATTGCAGCATATTGTTTATGCTGCTTGATATGTTTTATTCTACATGGGGTTGTTTTCAAGTGTACAGTTTAACATATGTGTGTATGTTTAATGTTAATAGGAAAGTCCTCTACTCACCTTCCTATTACAGTTAAGAGCACATACTTGGAGCCTCTTTTTTAGAGATGCCTAAATTTAGAGTTCAAAGCGGTAAAACATTCGTTTTTGTTTTTGACCCACTGATTTTTTTCTATAAATCTTGTACGCATAAAATTAACGAATTTTTCGTTTTTATTGTTGACCCACCGATTTTTTTTTTCTATATAATCTTGTATGCATAAAATTAATGAATCTCTCTGAACAACTTTGTTCTAAAACCTGTTTAAACTAGTTCATCTAACGGTTTTTTTAGTTTTTTCTTATTATCAGATAAAAAAAATTTTATCTAGCTTCCAACTACTTGAAGAAATGTTTCAATGTCCAGGTTCTTCGAGCGTTTTGACATTTAATATATGTTTGTAATTAGTAATTAAACTTATACTCACTAATGATAAGTGGCACTATAAATTTACATTTATTTGTATTAATACTTACATCATTTGTGTTGGATGTCAGTACATCGAAGCGTATGTGTAGAGGTTTCATAGTGGTTTGGGCTGTAGATTCCTCTGAAGATAGCGCCTCAGTTGATCTGAAAAATCATATATTTCACTATATTATTATTAATCTAAAATATCTTTTAAGGGGTTATTTACAGTTAGAACTTTCAGAAATCGATTTATTTTTTATTTTTTTCTTAACGTGCATATATGTATTTAGGAATACACACAGAAAATTTTATGTCTGTGCGCTGAATATTTTAGAAGTTACACGCAAGTTTGAAAATGCCTTTCATAGTATATGTAAAGTGTATTCCAAACTTTAAACACGTTTTTCTTAAAATCGTGTTCTCTCCCGGAGATCAGCTGTAGTTCGTTTGCAAATAAATATTTTTACTAATAATAACTCTTTAAATATAATTAAACTATCGTAAATATGTGTAAAAATTTTGGGATCAGTAAAGTTAAAGTTTTCTCAGACAAAGTTCTAAGAAATTCGCATTTTCGGCTTTCTAACTGGATATAACCTTTTTAGGCTACTTTATCAATAATGTCCTTCTATCATTTCATTATATGGTATGAAAATCATATAAAAAATAACGCCCACACCGCATACAAGACAACAATCAAAGCTAGTACTAAAAATGCGAAACGAAGTACATTGTTGTACAATCAACTCAATACCTAGAAATTCTTTTATACAATTCAGTCATAATGATGTATCGCACACAATTATCTGCTTCCGAAACTTCTACTTCTTTACTGGCGTAGAAACCGCTTACACATTCCAAGTGAAACCAGCTCCTTCTCCAGTAAGTGTTTTCGTTTATACCTAGCCAGCGTATCCACTGATTTTAATTTTTTAATTCACATAGCAGGATGGGAATAATGAGTGACCTATAGAGTTTTGTTTTTGAAAGTCATCTATCTACGACATCGACTATCTGCAGTAACTTGGGAACATAGTCGCGAGTGCAACGACTGTTTGCTTGATGATAGGCGATATTTCGTATTTTCTTTTACCAACGGTTGTTGAGGTCAATGATATATATCTATTTAGTTCTGCAGCTCTAATTACTTTCTCCAAGAGCAGATTGAAAAAGTCGCACAAAAGCGAGTCAACTTGTCTGAAACCTCGTTTGGTATCGAACGGCTCGCAAAGGTCCTGGTATTATATTTGCGGGGATAACAAATTCAGACAAGGCGGCATAAAGGCAGCTCCTTTTCGTTCTGCCAAAAGCAGCTTTGAAATCGACGAAGAGGTGGTGCGCGTCGATTGCTTTTTCACGGGTCCTTTCCAAGATTTCACGCATGGTAAATATTTGGTTGTTTGATAATTTTTCAGGACTAACGGCATACTGATAAGATCAGTTTGTTGACGGTGAGCTTTAATCCTTCACACAATACGCTCGATAGACCCATATATATGATGTTTAAGAGACTTATTCCACGGTAGTTCCTTTTTTGTGGATTGAGTAAAGCACACCAAATTTTACAAAGCCGATGATGCATGCTGCTTATCAGTACTTTGCCGCCGTCTTCTTGTTTCTCAGACGGGTAATTGCTATTCGAACTTCTTCATGGTCGGGAAATGCAATGTCTGCTCCATCGTCACCGATTGTGGAATCGGGTTCGCCTTCTTCTGGTATTCTCTGACATCAGCAACCGGATCTCCTCTGGAGGTTCTACAAGAGTATGCTCCGATCTTGAAACCTTCTGTTAGTCTTCGCATCTTTTCGTAGAATTTTCGAGCATTACCCCTGTCCGCCAGCTTGTCAAGCTTTTCATACTCACTCAATTCGGCCTCTTTGTTTTTCTGTATGAAAATGCGTCTCGCTTCCGTCTTCAACTCTTGGTATCTATCCTATCCCGCACGTGTTGTGGTCGATGGTAACGTTGCGAGGTAGACATTTTGTTTTCCCTCCACCGTGACATCGTACCAGCTGAAAACCAGTGATTTCGGTTGCAGCTGTTCGTAAGAAGCTTGAAATTTCGTCTTACAATTCCCTTATACAGAGTTGTTGACGAGTGCTCTCAGAGAGCAGAAGTGCAAGTTGAGTACAAAATTGTTCGGCTGTCTGTTGTGATTGCAGCCTGATCAACCTGTGTGGTGTTTTTTCGATCCGGAGACAGCCAGGTAGCTTGATGTATCTTCTTATGCTGGAATCTAGTACTACAGATAACCATATTTCGGGCCCCGGCGAAGTCGATCAACCCCAACCCATTAAAGAATGTTTCCACGTGAAGGCTGATTTTACCGATCGTAGTGCTAAAGAAACCTTCTTTGCGCACCTTGGCATTAAATTCGCCAAGCAGAATTCTGACATCGTGACAGGGGTAACTCTTATAAGTACGCTTCAAGCGCCCATAGAAAGAATCTTTGGTCACATCATTCTTTTCTTCCGTCGGACCGTGGGGCAAATCGGCGATATGTTGAAGAACTTCACTTTGATTCCGATTGCGGCTAAATGTTCATCGGTGTGAATGACGGAGTCTCTCTCCCACCACGAATTCCACACCAAATGTGGGCTCCTTTATATGACTAGTGTAGTAAATGCCACAAGTACCTACTCAGTCCTTGACCCGTCCATCGCATTTTCTGAACGGCAGTGATGTCAGCCTCCACTCTAATGAGTACATCAACCAGCTGGGCAGCGGCAACTCCCCATTTAATAGACCAGACATTCCAGGTGCATGCCTTCAAATTGTAATTTTTAATTACTTTACCATGGTCGTCATCAAAAGGGGGGTCATTTATCCAAGGATACTTTTTCATTTCGCGTTCAAACGGATGTTCTTAAGCTACCCAGCGGATATTTGGTAAAAGAAGCCGTGAGCTACTTGAGGAATTTATAAAATAATCGTTTCTGACCACTCGCAAGTGAATGGGAATCACAGAATTTCCGTCACTTGATTGAACTTCTACACATGACTCCATTCCCCTTCAAATATAGTGTTCATAAGACGCAACGATTCTAATCAAAAATGCTGCGAAACCTAAGAGGTGCACTGGGGTAAATCCGAAGTGAGAATTATATGGAAATCTTGAAATACCAATGGTAAACACAAATCGCACTAATCCCCTAGCGAAAAGTAACAAATATTATATAATACTTACAGCATATTTCGTTGATAATGCCCAAACCAAACATCCATAGAGTCGAGAAAGCTAAAAGATTAAAAAAAAACATTTTTATTAATATTTACATTTATTTTAATAATATCTTCTTCTTTATTGGACACCGCTTTCACGATTACAGCCGAGTTAACAACAGTGCGCGAGTCGTTTCTTCTTTCAATAGGAGATTCCAAGCCAAGCTAGGTCTTTCTCCACCTGGTCTTTCCAATGGAGTAGAGGTCTTTCCCTTTCTCTGATTCCTCTGGCTGATATTCCGTCGAATACTTTCACTTTGTCATCGTCAATGCCTCTGCACCTTATGGCAGGATGGGAATAATGAGTGACTTATAGTTTTGTTTTTGTTCGTCGAGAGAGGATTTTACTTCTCAATTGCGATCTTTATTCATTTCTGTGAACTTCTACACATGGCTCCATCCGTTTTAATAATAAATTGTTAGAAACGTGAGGCCGGGTCAGAACGTAACGTTTTATAGCCGATAAAAAAAATATACCAAAATGTTATTTGATTTATAAAAAATTCACTATTTATTCTTGGGTTTAATAATACAGTTAAATCAGTTTAAAATTTTTAACTTTGAGTAATATTATTAAAAAGAAATTTCAAAATCAATAATCTTGTTTACAAAATACTAGATACTGTTTTCTTATATATTTAAAGCATTAGAAACGTAAATAAAAAATTGAATTTACTTATTGTGGTTTTACTTTACTTTCGGATTGTATTTGAAATACAAAAGATTTATTTTTTAGAAAAATTATTTTTTATTCAAAATAATTCATATTGATTCCAATCCAAATTTAATAAAAACAAGACGAAACAAGGCTAAGGCAAAGATATCGAAGAAGTCCCGTTAAAAGCTCTTGAAAACAGCGTTTTAGATATAATGAATTGTCGCAGCTGATCTTATTTGCAAATTCTTTAACACGTCCTTGAGAAATCTAGAAGACAAACAAGTTTTACTTTTTTCAAACTCGTTGGCCTGAATTAATTAATCCAATGAAATTTAATGGTCAAAATCATTTAGAAAAACCAACTACAAGACCTGAAGCTACGAAATTGCAACGAAAATTTTAGCATTTAGAAACTGGAATTGTGTTCAATGTTTGGAACGTTATTTTTGATAGTTTTAATGCTGCGAGTAAGAAGCTTCAGGAGTCTCAAATAAATTAAACATATCTGGTGCAAATGTATGGATCTTAGCATTGTTTCTGCAAGGGAGACAAAACATTCTCTGAATATATGAGCAAAAAGCCAATGTATTGCCTGGAGTTCAAATTTATTAATAATATTATAGCACGAAATTCCGAAAAATTCAGGCAGATGAGTCATGAAGGTGAATTAGATAAAACCTTTACTTAGTCTTGAAAATTTTCGCATCAGTGTACATTACTGAATTTTAGATACTTTGAGAGTACAACTAGCCGGACGTAAAAGTGCTTATCAAAAGCGCCAAATGCCAAATTGCTTAAAATGTTCTTTACGCACGTACGGATAGAATCAAGGATAAAACTCCTTGCCTTTAATCCATTTTCGTTAAGGGTTAATGATAATATATAAAACCACATTAGCCTTGATTATCAGTGATTTTTTATTAAATTTGGATTTGCTCGTTTTAGTGCCACTCTTCAGTAGTTCGTTGAATTTCTCTGCTATGCTGTTAAACCTTATAAGCCGACAGTGTGACCACCTCGAATTTCTTCAATGCGCTCATAAGCAAACCTGGTAAATCCCTGTAGACATATTCGTCTAGAAAAATTGGCACTAAAATTGGCCGTGCAACTTAATAGGAAACTTTATGAAAGTCATTCCTTTGGCTTTGAGGGTAACCCTTTAGTTCTAGTCGAAATTAGTTTAGATTTATTTAGTACGGGACACGAACTTGTTATCTACGGTTCGAAGCTCTTTAAACCGTTTGTCAAGTCCTGTTTCTCACCAACCACTACTTTACAGCGCCAAAAATTCATTTTCGATCCCCCTTATCAACTTAAAACACGTCTTTGGATTTCAATGTGTCCGTTAAAGGTTGAGGATCGTCAAGAAGTACTCGATATACTTTCCGTGGTCGCCATCGCTGCCCCGTGAGCACAAAGTTGGTTGACCCCTAGTTTTTGAACATGATCGGTAAACCTTTGACTTGTCTAAATAGCCAACAAATATACACGGATCTGCGCGAGAGTCAATCATTCATATTTCAGGAATTTCATATACGCCACGTCCCATGCTTCTATTTTTACCCACAAGTATAAGTTTCACAGTCAGATAGTCTCTCAGTTTGTATAAATTTTAACCCGTGTACCGAAGTATTTGCCATAAATTTCAAATCACACTCGTTAACATGTTTCATTCTGTAATTCCATAAATTAACATTGTGTTTTGCATTCGACAAATTCGCGAAAATTTTCAGGATTTTTAAATAAAACAAAGTACCAATTCGCTCGGCTTCCAATATCACTTTATCGTCACTGCTCATAATCACGACTTCATTCGTTAATTACAGTTAATTTTAACAACCGATAGCTCGTAACCAAGTCAGATACAAACAAAACGTTTTATTAGTCCAAATCGATTTATTTCCCGCGAACCTTTACCGTAGTGCACATTGCTTGACACTTTCAAAAACTTTCGTATTTGCACTCATATGAGATGTACAACCACCATCCAAACACCATCTCATATTTCCTACAGATACTGCTAATGACTTTTCCACTGTATTCAATGCCATTTTCGCGTGTTTTGCTTTTGTGGTTTGTTCTTGCAATTTCAAATCAGGAATTGTCACGCCATATCGCACCGATAGCAATCAATGCTTTGAATTTGCCAAATTTCTGTCTAGGTATGGTTGATTTTGTTTTCTTCTTTATGTAAATCATATTATAGTTTTCACGTGCGCACCTAAAACGCGAGAAAAATTTTCGAAGTCGAACAATCTTTATTCTCAAAGAACATGAGCCGTGTAAATCAATATTAAATGTCTGATATGACGCTCTTATACTGTCCATATAAAAAATTGGTAATTGCTCTTCGTCAATAGATATGCCTATTCCTTTCAGATTCGCTACTGCATAGAATAATGCGTTGAAATATGCTCGAACTTCAAAACTTAACTTTACTATATGCAGTCGTCTACAGTTTTATGGGTCCTGGTTCCATAATCTAAAGTTACGAGGATGTAATAACGACTGACTTTATTAGAAATTTACTTTAACTGGTCGAAATTGACACATCGTTACGCTTTCAAGGCTTATGAATGACTCAAAACTTATATATTAAACTTGCGTTGCAAGGATGCAGACATTCTTCTTTTAACGTCACAAATCGGTTTAGTAACTTTTAAGTTTTATTTCACACAAATAATTATAATTAATTTTAAGTTTTTCATTTTTGACAATAATCTGTAATGCAATGCTCAAATTTAGCTGATTTCTTCATATATATTGCTTGAGAAAGTATTATGAGCTACTGAACTTAAAAGATAAGGAAGAATCACTGTGATCCACAGGGGCAATCTTCGACTGAACAAGAAATTGAAAAGTAAAGCGCTATCTCGACATACAAAACCTAAAATCTACAAGTCTTCCATCATTCCAGTTCTACTATGTTTTGCAGAGGGATGGACATTCGCAACAACTGAAATATGTTGCTAAAAATGTGTGGTGCTTTGTAGCGAATACCACGCTTAATGGATAGTTCAACGATACAAGAGACAATGTCTACGCTGGCTGGTCATGTTGTCGGGATGGATAAGAACAAACCAGCTTTACAAGTAGTCTATGCAGTACCCGCCAATGGAAGCAGAGGAAGAGAAAGTCCTCAACTCCGTTGGAGCGATCAGATGGACAAGGGCTTGGAAAAGAAGAAATAACTGCCGCACTTTCTTTAAAGCGGTATCTACGCCTGCAATAAGAAGAATAATATTACATTAACCCTTTTTTATTTTTTTATTGTAAAATATTGCCGAAATATTTCAACCCTTTTCTATTAAAAATGAGCTGTATCAAAAATATATGTAATTTAACAATTTATAAAAATACTAACCCCAAAAAATAGGAATAAATCGACTGAGCAAAAGTACATTTAACTGCTGTTAAAATTTACGTAACTTACTTATTTTCATCCTTCCCAGAACTACGGTTTTCACTTGAAGATCTATATGAACATAGTTTGGCCATTTGTTGTTGGTATTGTTTTTGTTGTTCACTTGGAACAAGCGTAGCTTGATTCAATCGTATTATTCTTTTACTATTATCTATGTTTGAATCATTCGAATCATTGTTTTTAGCAATATCGTAGCCCCTATTGAGATTAGATCGGAGGTAATTTGAATCGAACTCATCAATAATGCCACTGTTGTTTAAGGCCAATGTTATATGCTTGTTTTTTGCAGTGCTGCTGGTGATTAATATATTTTCACCTACTAAGGCTGATACCTCAAATCCGGCTGAAACAAGAGCTCCCAACTGATGCAGATGCATGTTTTTTAGTTCACAGTCGCCGTCCACAATGTTCCGACCAGGCATCACCTCTACATGTTCAGATCCTCTGATGTTCAGTTTCGATAATACTTTTTTATGTTTTTGCTGAAAAAGATACAAAAATACTGGAATTTGTTTACTAAGATATGTATGAAATAAAATTTTAACAATTCTGATTATAAGCGAAAACTTTAGGGCTCTTTAATACACTTTTATTAGCTGTAGCTCTATTTATGTTTGTAACTTTTTTCAGTGGCCCTGAAATACTATTTATTTGAGGGATCCTATGACAGAGCAATCGAAAATTTGAACAGCAGAATTCAAAAAAGTTTCTAAAAATAGGCAACTAAAATCACCACAAATACATTAACTTAAAGGAAGTAGAAACTAGACTCGAAATCCTTTATTAAAAATTGTTGATTATGGGAATTCAAAAATCAGGTGCTAATTATCAGAACAAAGCCTACATTAACATTGGACGTCACTTGAATTATATGCTAAATTTGAACCGATGAGAACTAATTCTGTAGGATTTCTTACTTCCCAATTTGATGTGCCCTAAAGTTTGATTTATCTTTTTCTCGATTGGCGTAGTCACCGCTTACGCGATTATAGCCGAGTTAACAACCGCGCGCCAGTCGTTTCTTCTTTTCGCTACGTGGCGCCAATTAGATATTCCAAGTGAAGCCAGATCCTTCTCCACTTGGCCCTTCCAACGGAGTGGAGGTCTTCCTCTTCCTTTGCTTCCCCCGGCGGGTACTGCGTCGAATACTTTCAGAGCTGGAGTGTTTTTATCCATCCGGACAACATGACCTAGCCAGCGTAGCCGCTGTCTTTTAATTCGCTGAACTATGTCAATGTCGTTATACATCCCATACAGCTCATAGTTACATCGAATGCGATATTCGCCGTGGCCAACGCGCAAAGGACCATAAATCTTTCGCAGAACTTTTCTCTCGAAAACTCGCAACGTCGACTCATCCGTTGTTGACATCGTCCAAGTCTCTGCACCATATAGCAGGATGGGAATTATGAGTGACTCATAGAGTTTGGTTTTTGTTTGTCGAGAGAG